TTGAGGCCCCCAAAACTGCACACAGTGCTCGAGGGTAGGCCGCACCAGTGCAGTGCAGAGTGGGACAACCACCCGCCTCGAGCGGCTCGCTAACACTGTGCTTGATGCACCCTAGGACGTGGCTGGCCCCTTTGGCTGCCAGGGCACACTTAACTCACGTTCAACTTGCCATCGACCCAAACCCCCAGATCCCTTTCCGCGGGGCTGCTTTCCAGCCTCTCCTCCCCCAGTTTCTACGTATAACCAGGATTGCCCCGTCTCAGGTGGAAAATCTGGCACTTGCTCTTGTTAAATTTCATACAGTTGGTGATTGCCCAACTCTCTCGTCTATGCACATCTCTCTGTAAGGCCTCTCTACCCTTGAGGGAGTCCACAGCTCCTCCTAGTTTAGTATCACCGGCAAAACACGTCTCAGGCAGAGACCTGGCACAGCTTTGCTCCGAGCATCCGACGGAGCCCTCGGGCTGCAGTGCCAGCTGGTGGCAGCATCCTCCCAGCAGCCCTGCAGCCAGGCCAGACCCTCGGGGAGCGCCTGGGCTGCTGCAGGCCTGTCCTGGGTGCCCACCGCCTACGTGGGGGGAGACCTGAGCTCTGCCGAGGTGTCCCAGTGCGAGTGGAAGGCGGCTGGTGAGGGGCTGGGGCTCCCCAAGTCCTGCCAGGCAGCACCTCCAAGGAGCAGCAGCAGAAAGCTCGGAGAGGAGGAAGAGGAGGAAACACAAAGTCCAAGACCCTAAAGAGCTGCTGCAAAGAAGCAGCACGACTTACTCCACCAGTGTCCTAGGTCACGTATTTTTTTGTAGAGCGGGGTTTTTTTTGGTACTAGATGGCTACAGATTTTAGGCCACCACTGCAGGCATGCAGGAACACACCCTCCGTCTGCAGCACGAGCTGCAGTGGCAAGAGCAGCAGAGGAAGCCCGCGGTGTGAATCCTTCCCTGGTGGCTGCAGGTCACGAGTTAACGCACCCGCAGCATGGTCCCAGAAACACGAGCGCTCTTCGGCTCCGGAGACTTTAAAGGCCCAGATAGAGAAATATTTGTCAGGAGTTTAGAGGGGCTGAACAGATCCTTCCACTCCTCATTTCTTGTGCTTCTGGGGATGAGGGGACACCCGCAGAGGCTTTGCTCTTAAGGAAGGATCTCGGAGCAACTCTGTACGTCAGAAACCTCCCAGCCCAGACACCATGGTAGTGGGCGCAAAGAGAGCACAGCGAGAAAGGCAGCCGCCTCAGGGAGCCCTTCCTCAAGGGGAGAGTTTGATGCACTTTCCTGTTTGGGGGAGGCAAAAGCTACTGCTGCGACTGACACGTTTCAGGCCCCCCCATAACGGGGCAGAACTCTGGCCTGGGGGACAGCACGGCATTAACTCACCCCGATTGTCGAGGCCATGTAATCCGCACACATCTCGGCAAAGTCCCGCTCCAGCACCCCGTAGTAAAGACCATAGAAGAGGAGGGAGATGCCGAAGTCCATTGCGTCTTCTGGTTTGATTCTACAACAGAAGAGCCCAAACGACATCAGGAGCTTTTTTCGGGGTGGGGGGGCTGTGGGGATGCAAAGCCAGTGTGCTGACACAGCCCACAGCACTAACTCTGTCACAAAGAGCGGTCCACCAAGACAGTGGACACACATCACCGGGAAGCATCACCCACAGAGGTCTTCTAGGTGCCTGCCCAGCACAACCCTGGGTCCTGTTTCTGGGACACTTCACCTTGGTTGTCAACAAGCAGCATTTGAATGGGGATGTGGGTGTAACACCCCAGCTGTCTAATACCTGGTGCCCATCGCCCTCACCAGGCTCTGGAATGAGCAACTGCAGTAATCTCCTTCTATCTCATGCACCAGATCAGCTCCGAGTAAGCCGCCAGTTAACACTTGCACGTCTCTGCAGGCAGATGCCAGGTCTGCTTATATTCCAGAGAAGGAATCAACCTCTCTAAACACGAAGATGGCTTGGGCTAGGGTCCTCTGCTATCACACTTGGGCTGGCTGCTTGTTGCAGGTACCTCTTTATCAGGGTAGCAAAGAAAATCCCACTGCTGCCCCCAGACTGGACACGGGCAGAGCTGGAGGAGCTGCCGACACAGCTGAGCTGGAAGCACGGCCCTCCAGTGACCCTGACCAGTTCAGGTACCAGCATCTCACCCGTGATCCTCCCAGCAAGGAGAGGACGCACCAAGAGTCTCTTTGGCCCCGTTTATCAGATTGCTAAGACAACTGTTTTCCAGAGTCGTAGCCAACGCCTTATTCCACACGGTGTGTTACATCCCCCGCCCTGGGAGTGGGACCCGAAAGATTCACTCACCTGAATAATAAGTTAAGACCAAAAAGTGTAAACATCACAGCCATGTACCCTACGATTCCAGTGGCGTAGCTGATCTTGTATATTAGTAGAAACCATTTATAAACCAGCCTGTAAAGAATTAAAACAAGAATTTAACTATTTCATTTTTCCTGAATGAAACTGCACCAAGCACCCAAAGAGTTTTACTTTTTAAACCTGGACGTGTTGTTTGCAGATGCTTCACCTACCCATACGCATGGGCAACAGAGCCTTACATTTCTAATTCAAGCTACAGATCCGCCGCTGCCGTGAGCCACTCACGGTCTTGACTTCCGAACTAGAAACCTCGGGATCTCCAAAGGCCATAAGCAAGCATGCTTCACGCCGGGAATGCCCTTGGTGAGGCTACCAGCCCACGCGGCATCTACCTTTCCACCACCCACTCGGGTACCACGTGCATCGGGCTGGCTGCCACCAGCCGGTTACTGCTTCGCACCGACCAGCGCGGGCAGGGATTGCACACTCCCGGGGTGCAAAGTTTAAGGCAATGATCTGTGACAGCGAAACTGGAAAGAGCTCCTTGTAACAGTTACCCTGGGGCTGAGGAGTTTTCCCAGGAACACGTGTACTAACCTGGGCGTTGTCTGTACCAGAGGTTTTCGAGTTGCCCTGAAGGTGACAAAAGCTGTGACCGCTGAGAAGAACACCCAGATTACCAGGAACCGCCACCAGTACAGCTTGATCGTGAAATACAGAGGCACTACCCACATCTGGAAGAGGGTCACCATCTGCAGGAACAGAGGAAAGGCATTTTGAGCTGGTTCTCTGCTCATCAGACATCAGAAACACCCTGCCAGCCCTGGCAGCCGTTCTCCTGCCTGCATCAAAGCACCCCGAATAGCACCAGGAAACTCGGGAGGTTTGGTCTGTGGCACCCAGCACCCAGAGAACAGGCTCAGAGCCTGACTGAGGGAGTCGGAGGCAGCAGCCAGGCGATCTTCGGTAGCAAAGGACTAGAGCTGGAGGGAGAAGGCAGAGGAAATATCTCCAGAGGAAGGGACAGGAGATGATCCACTTAACTAGTTGTCGTAAGGCAGTTATATAAACCTTCGCCTTTCCAGGGTCCCGAACACTGCAACCACAGACACCTCAAGCAAGTATCAATCAAGGAGACGGGCACAGCGGAAGGTTTCAGACTGGCCTCTGCCCTACAGCCTATTCCCAACAGGGATCTACGGCTGTGCAGCTGAGCTCCTGTGGTGCTGCCAGAGGGGAACAGGCAAACAGGTTCGGTTTAAAGTTCACAGAGGATTACAGGTATTGCCTGGAAACATTAATTATGATAAGGAAATCGGAGTGAGGTTGGTTCAGGTGAAATAACAGTCCCTGACAAGCCGGTAACATCAGCAAGTGACAGGTCTGCTCAGCAGACAGTGCTGCCGGGCAAGCCCAGCGGTGCTGCAGGAACGTCAAACCCAGGGTCCCGGCAGCAAGAAGCCCCCCTCGCTTGCGAGGAAGCGCCCACAAAACGCAGCTTCCCTTTGTGATTCCCTCAGGACAACACCCGAGATTTGCTTGTCCCATCACCTGGTGTCAAAGCACTATGTAAAACTGGTATCTGGCATCATTTATAACAGAAACTTAATGCCTCCAGGCACGTCCATCCTCATCCCTAGCTAGAATCCCCACATGCTGCTGGGAAGACGAGGGTATCTCAACACCAGACAAGAGGAGAAAAACAGGAACATACTTCTCATCAGCTAAAGGACGGCATCACTCAGCATCCAGCCTTGGAGACAAAACGTCTGCGTGGGAGACACTTACGTTGTAGGAGCGAGGGTGCCTCTGTTTCCACTGAACCAACAGGAGCTGTGCCACCACTAGCGTGGCGATAAGGATGAGGACCATTTCGGCATGCATAGCCTCGTGACCACGGTGCTTGGCATGCATCCGTGCATGCTCCACCCTGCAACAACAGGGAAAAGGAGGCTGAAGAGCATGCGGGCACGGACCGCATGCTAACAGCACGGTGGGGCTGACAAACACCTCGGCACGGGGGAGCCAGGAAGACCAGACACCACGAAGGAGTGTCGAGGAGACGGGTGCTGTGTTGCAATCCAGAGGAGAAAGGACAAAAGGCTTCTCTGAGACTGGCTCATTTTTAAACTGTGAAAACCAAGACCGCCATCCAGCCCATCCTGATGCAAACGAGGCAGAGAGAACTCACACTGACGTACCTGAACTAACGAACGTGGAATGCATGTTTCACGAAACTCACCCGGCAGCTCACCGGTGCAACAGCATCAGCTCAGCGGCTGTTTGACACCACAAGTGTGCACTAACGCTCAATACCAAACTCTCAGCCCAGTTTCAGAGCCACCAGCACCATTCCCCCTCTTGCCCAGCACTGGAAAGGCTGGATGGACAGTGGGGCATGGTCTACAGCTGGCAAAACCCACAAACCCCAGCAAAATCACTTCTCTCTGCCCTGGGTGACCCCATTTACATCCTGGAACAAGTGATTTCCAGACTGATGCTCTACAGACACCTGGAGTTTCTTTGCAGTTTGAGCTGTTTAACCAAAAATCAAGGCAGAATTAAGACCTGTAACATCCTTATACCTCGGTCTTGAGCTGACAAGACAGTTCAAGTCAGGGGGAAAAAAATCCAAACCCAACAAATATGCCAAATTCTCTGATCTTAAGTCATCCTCTGTAAATTAATACTGAGAGAAGACTGGTCTCACTGCGCTTTTCAACAAGTGTCTGGCTGAAATTGGTTTGGCTAAGGGAAAAGGAAGAATATCTAGTAAGCAGTTTAAAAGAAAAAACATTAGTATTGCCTTTTAAGACAGTTCATACTTCCCCCTAACAAATAACGCTGCACAGGGAAGGCTGACCCTCTCCTCTCCCACGGTGAATACAGGCTGTGCTGCTGGTAGCTCCGGTCAGGAGCCGGAGCTCGCTCACGCTGAAAGCACGGGTTCACCTCACAACACTGACTCACCTCCATCTCTCCTCTGGGGACAAGTGCGAAAGATCGACCTGGGGAGAAAAAAAAACACCAAAGAAATCAGCCGCTGAAGTTTGGGAGCAGCAGTACCAGCCTAGGACGGATAACTTATTTACTTCATCTCCCCAAACAGAGCAGATGCTGGTTTATGCCCCACACGAGCAAGGCTGTGCTGTGCCTACACTGCCTGTTCACCGCAAGTAACACTGACACGGCACCCGGCTCCTTTATCTCCTGGTGAGACCCCAGCAGTGCCAACAGCAGCGGCGGCGTCAGCCGCAAAGCCATCCCGTGAGCCCCCCGGGATTGCTCTTTGAGAGCTTTAAGAAGGGAAACCCTGGATTCGGAAGCTTTAAACAACAAACCTTCGATGTGCCCCTCATGACATCACAGCCCAGAACTGTCCTTCAAGCCTCCAGACAGCACGGGGAGAGCTGCAGAGTCCCCCTGCTCCTCCATCACCCGCAAGCACCTTTCCCCTTATGCTCCCACATCGTACTGCAGCCAAGGCTCTGCCCACCATCCCGCGCTACGTGCGCCAGAGGAATTGGTTTAAGTCGCACGTTCACAACCCAGTCGGGCGTCTCTGGGCACAGAGGAGCGATCCCAGCGCACGTCAGAAACACGACAGAGAAGGGAGTCCAAAATCCCACCAGTCTGCAGGACGAGGGATGCTGTCTGCAGACCAGCAACAAACCATCGTCCAAAGATTTTTTTGACAGAACTGGGGAAAAAGAAGGATTTAGGACTTGCTTTGCTGACATGGCTGGAAGTTTCTCCCAAGTGTTACAGGCAGCAAAGTTTTTGCCCAACAGGAGCAACCGAGACCGAGAGGAGTTGCTGTTATTAGTGACAAGAGATGATGGGCTGGTGTAATCCATGCTTAAGGCCAGCTGAAACTGCCAGGCTGGACGCAGGGTGTTAAGGACATCCTCCATGTGACAGGTTTAGGGGACAGAAGTAACCGGACTAAACGATTAAAAGCCCCCTTCTGCAGAACTGTGACTCTGGGCTAAACTTCTCAGCTTGCAAGCCAGCAGCACCAGACCTCATGCAGAGGCTGAGTCTTGGAGAATCCTCCTGTTCGCCCAGCGAGATTCCTCTGCGAATCCTCTGACCATGAGGCATTTGGACTGGGGAGGAACGGGGGGACCTTCGACATTGCATTTCAGCTTTCTCTTGGCGCTTTATGTCTTCACGTAAGAGCTGAAGAGGCCTCCAGCACCGCTCACGTCCCTGCACGGGCTCACTGGCCAGGCAGCACTCGTCCCAGCGCCGGCACAAACCCTGACACGTGGTGCTGGGGATGCAGCAAACGAAATCCCGCAGCTCTGACTTCAGGTTGCCTTTCCTTGGTGAGACACAAACACAGATAAAACCTACAGCGGCTCACCTGGCGCTGGGTATATAAACACACGGTTTACAAAACCTCATCTGGCTGGAGACCCTTCAACATGGCCCAGGGGCCAGGGACGGCACTCGCCCCGGCTGCCGGCTCTCCCCCCGGCACAGCCGCAGCCGCGCGCACCGCCGGGCCCC